GTGTTGAGTTAGTAGCGCTTCCTAATTAACCAACTACTATTAAATGCAGACTTTGTGTTTTTTTTTTAATACAGACTTTGTTTGCTGAAGACACATCAGAAGTGACTTGAAAGGAGTAGTATAAAACTTTCCTTTCATTTAACAATTTTACAGCAAAAAATTCCAATCTATATTCTAATTTGTGAGAATTAGAAGGTCCACACTAAATTTATGAATTAACTACTAAATTTTACATGAGAAAGGGATTTTCTTCCCCGTGATGCAAAAGTATAATTGATAAAAGAGATACTCTTCTTAACAGAAAGAAAGGAACACAATGTTTTTAACTGCCTACTATAAAATTTATAGTAACCTATAGAGTTCACAGTAAATTCTATAGGTTATTGTAACCTACTATATAGGTTACTGTCACCATGATTTCATTTAATCTTCTCAAGATCACTTTGAGTAAGGTACTACTGGTCCCATTTTTATAGTGACAGTAACTGAGATAGGGTAAAGTTAAATGATTTGCCTAAAACCACATAGTTATTTAAAGCAAGTGTCTGAAAGCAACGATCATTTCCTTTGTCTCCCCTTATATGAAAAAAAAATTGTCCATTTAAAATTATATTAGGACAATTAAAATGGTTACAAATTATGTGTTACATTTATCCACCTGGGAGACAAGAACATATTGCAGCAGAAAAATGTGAATAAACCTGTGAATTGTCTTATGATTTAAATCAAGAAAAAAAATGACAAAATCACTCTAAACTCTAATACAAAATACATACTCCTACAATGCATGACAATGAAATAAGACACGAAGGGTGGTAATCTGATCCATAACAGCAACTTGGGCTTGTACTACCAGCTTTCACATCGTTAGGAAGTAGTGGATCACGTTACAGAAGATTCATATATAATGTGACATTATCATTATGCTACCAAAATGTACAATATCTGAAAGTCAATTCAATAAGACTTCAATAATGTCCTGTACTTAAACCTAATGCTTGAAGAAAACCTAATGCTGTGTTGATGCTTCTAGAAAAAAAACAGACCATCTCATCTCAGGGGTATATATTATCTACAGGTAAATTTTACAGTGTTTTAACAGAAAATATGACACATTGAACAAAGTGAAGGTTACTTCACATTGGAATGAAAATCCTATGGTTGAAATGTTCATTTTCTTTATTCTGGACAAAATTAAAAGCAATGGGATTACAAAACAGTGTATACACTGTAAACCCTATAGTAAACCCCTATTGCTTTCTAAGCATAAAAAAGGCTATGTTAGGTTAAACAGAATCCAAACAACATCAGTAAAAAAGAAGAGTAACCCACTTGGCTACCAAATGCCCATTTCTACAATAATCGACTCTAAGGAGATTTAGGAAATTACTACCTCATGATAATATGCTAATAACAACTAATTTTGCTACTGAAACAGAGTAACTAGAACTCATCCCAGCCCAGCCTGTGAGAGGAACAGCCCACTCAGAATTAGATCCAGCAAAAAAGCAGCAGTGAAGAAATTTATGAAATGATAGCTGAGTAAGCAAAAGATTATTAAGGAATTTCCAACAGCTATTAGGAGTTGAGATGAGCCAACTATCAGGAAACAGAGTTTTAATACTAATTATCATATTTAAAAGGAAACAAAAGTACTCCATTTACTCTTTAATGTACAGTATTTCTCATTCCATTCAAACATTCACTTTAGCAAAATAAAATCTAAGAGACATTGCCTAGCAAAGATTTTACTCTGATTAAATGCCAATCAACACTTATTACCATATCTTTGGCTAAAGTCTCAGGTACAGGAGAATGTGCAAGAGGAAATGATAACAGAAAAAGGGTGCCAAGCTATTGAGCAATGTTCCTTCTAACTGTGATTTTGTTAGGTACATAATAAACACTTTGTTCTGTAATCTCTTGTGCTCAGAAGCAGTCCAGGTATCACCACCTAAACAATCTGAAGATATTACTCACACATCATGAGCCATTCAGCTATTATTCATCCTTAATATGCTCTACAGCAAACCACAATAAAAAATGCATCAAGAACAAATAACCCCTTGAGACTGATACACACTGCTCTACAGAATGTGGCTTCACTACAATGGGTAACAAATAGGTAACAGCAAACTCAATATGGCTAGGGGGTCAGCACTGCCAAAAAATCTGAGAGCTCAGGTGATCTGTATGTCATAATTCTTCCTCAGTATGAAGAAATGAGTAAAAGAATCTCTAAGGATGCTCAAGAGAGAAAACAAGAAACTACTAAGTGTCAGGAACCTTGCATATACCAACTCATTTAATATCTCACAGCTATTTTTACACCCATTTTATTACAGATATAGAAACTGAAACTCAAACAGGCAAAGTAACTTTTCACATAGACATGACGCTTATCCCCCAAAAGGTATTAATCTGGCTCCAAGCCCCATGTACCTAAGAATCTCTCCTTCTTGAATAAGTTAGTAATCAAATATTGCCCGGCCAAAAATTCAGTGTCATTGGTAGGGAATCTGGCTTACATAAAACAAAATACTACAGTCCCAGCTTTCCTCCTCTGGTGTTTCCTGTCTTCTTTCTCAAATTTTATATATATTAAATTTTGGCCACAGGATGTCCCTCTTTGGTTTTTGATTGACATCACTTTGCTTCCTTATCATGTAATTAGAATTGGTAGAGGTACTTACAGGCACACTTCCCTCAGAAATGAGGGTACGCCTCTGCAGTCAGCTTCTCCACTTGCAGCACTGACATCATCTTCAGAATGTCTGACCCACAGTCCTTTCATCAGGTTACTCTGGGTAACTACTAGTACTGAGCAATCCTGACAGATCTTGCTATAATTCTTGTAATTTTTGGAAATCTTTGGCTTACTTCAAGTTTTATTTAGGTGCCTTTTCTTTACTAGAAATATAGAAAAATACATATCTAGATTTTTAGACAAATAGCTAGACAGCCCATTTTTGTTCACAGGCTAGGAAATGGTGAAATTCCCTAACAATAGGGCACACAGCTCATATTTAGAGGATGCTGAGAGTCAATCTCATACAAAGATCTTAAGAAACCTCTAAAGAAAATCTAGGGCTCAGTCCTTTCATTCTTTAAACTCCTGGTGTAATCACCAAATGATTGTTTTTTTTTTTCCCTCAAGCTCACACCTGATGTGCTTCTTATTTCAGACAGAATCACAGGTAACTCAACTAATTTCCACTCTACTGATGAAGATTACCCCTCCCCCTCTTGTCCCTCAGGCTATGTCTTCCTAAATCTCTTTCTGTGGTTATTCCCACACTAGGCAGATCTCGTCTTCATTTTTCCACTATCAATCTCAAAACACTGGCTACCTCCGCAGCCTTCTGGTCCTTCTCAGAGCAGCTGCCTTCCTTTCTCTCCTTGAAGACCTTCTCTAAAACACTTGGCCTCTCCTTAGGCCTGTAGCTTCCCTGACAAAGGTTAATCTTTACCTTAAGTGAGCCTGTCTATTCTTTTTGTGCATCTAAGATAACATACCTTTAAAATGTTAAGTGATATTCTTTTCCCTTCAAAGGCACAACAGCTGGCACCAGAGCACTAGACTTCATTGTTGTCTCGTTGCCCACATACCATCTATGTGTGCTGTAAATGTTAACCATCCTGTACCCACCAATGTAAAAGAAGTATGTCTCTCCATTTTGTTTTTTATCAAATTCAAGAGATTTTCCCCACCCCCTTAATCTATCACCAAAGGATTTCATGTAAACCCCACTCAAGTCTCTTCCTTTCATTCACTGTATAAAATAAGCTGCAAAAGTGCCATTTTCTGGCGTATTTTCTCAATCTGTTGCTTCCCAGTAATTGCTGTCAGTTTGGCTCAAATAAACTCATAAAAATTCTCAAAACAAAACAAAACAAAAACAATGAAAAAACTTGGCCTTTCAAGGCTGGCCCTTATTCAAGCAGCAGTTGTGGAATCATAATCCTAGCCTCAATGAAAAGTGTATATGTCTACACAGAAGTACTTAGCAAGTCCCTGGCACACGATGGTACTCAATAATTGTCAGTGTATCACCAATATTAATGAATGCAGCAGGATAAGGAAGTAAATGTAAGAATTATAACTAATTGGGGGGGTCAGTATGATCCGTTTATCAAAAACCTGGACTTTATCAAGTGAATTATTACATGCTGCAAGGCTTCAGATCCTTCCCTTTAGCAGAGAAACAATCAGGTCATTCTGGCAGGAGTAATAATGGCCCAAGAGTGCTGATTGCCATCAATATGACAAAGCTATCTTTTACCTGTTTGACACAAGCACTAGCAATTTCCCTTTTTTTGGTGTGATTCCAAAACAAGGCCAGTTGACCACGTCCAACCATCTATATTCTTTCTCTTAGTCGTATTACTATACATGTTAATTCTTAGCTCATATCAACAGAACAGTCCTTTGAAATTCATGCAGTCTACAAATCCACTAATTTGAATAATTAGTTCAGATGATTTCAATGTCAGAATTAGCAGTGGCTGCGACAAAGCTTCCCTCATGAACACTGAGGCTGGATGACTACTTTATAGCAGTCTAATTTTTCACCAGATAGCCTCCTAATCAAAAAGGAAAGCCCTGGTCATATGAATAGTTAAGCATAATCCAGTCTATGTGCACCTGAAAGACAAGGGAAAAATATTCATGCAAATATCTCATTCAGAAGCCATCATTAAATGATTTAATAGTAAATTTTCTTAGTTTATCTCCATATATCCATATCATCCAAGATATCTTAGATCAAGGATAAAGAGGCCATTTTCTTAAACTTACCCAAAACACCACCATAAACACTTTAAACACTATTCTTAAACTTGAGACTACAACTATCCTTAAACCACAAACTTATCCTAAACACCACATAAGCAGTATTCGTACTTATATGACCATCCTGTAAAGATTCGAATGTTACGAACAAAAATAGAGTGCACTCTCTTCACTGCTACAGGTTATATTCTCAAGTCCATGTTTTTTTAAAAATGTGGATGTCTTCATGAATTTGTGTGTCATTCTTGTGCAGGGGCCATGCTAATCTTTTTTGTATCATTCTAATTTTAGTATATGTTCTACTGAAGTGAGCCCATGTTCTTATAATTTTAAAAATTCTTTGGAAGAGCTTCCCTACTCATTTCCTACTTTTCTAGTAAATTTATTATCAAGTCAAAATCAGACTTGTAAAGGCAACATGTAGAAGAGTGGCTAAGAAAATGGATTATAGAACCAGAATACCTTAATTTGAATCCTGATCCTATCACTATTAACTACAAGACTTTTGGCATGTTTTTTAACCTCTGGCCCCTCAGTTTCCTTATCTGAAAAACAGCGATAATAAAAGTGCCTATCTGTTAAAATTGCGCTATTATAATTACACAGTTTAAGTGTGCCATAAGTGTTAAAAATCATTATCATTACAACACCTGTCTTTGTAAGATCTGGGCAACTTATGTCTTGGTTCAGGAGTGGCAGTAAGCAACAAATATAAACAAAAAGTCAAAATATATTGACAAGCAACACACTCCTCACATACAAAATCAATTTGACAAGAGTATAAATACCTTATCTCTTTTTTTAATCATCACCTAAGGATATGTTTATTGATTTTAGAGAGAGGGAGGGAGGAAGGGGCAGAGAGAGAGAGAGAGAGAGAGAGAGAGAGAAACATCAATCATTTGCCTCCCATACATACCCAGACCAGAGATCGAACCCACAACCTAGTTATGTAAACTGACCAGCAATCAAACCTGCAACCTTTTTGGTATACTGGATGATGCTCCAACCAACTAAGCCACCCAACCAGGGCTAAAGACCTCATTTTAAGCAGAAAAGAGACCTAATTAAATTCTACTTTAAGTTTCTTATTTAAGCCAATAAACAACAAGCTGGGCTTCAGGCTCAATCATCAACCAATGATGAATGCTTCCTGTATGACTGCTAAGAGAAAATTGTAGAAAACAGATTCCTATAAACAAATTGGTATAGTTTTTCTTGGCTTTCAATCATAAAGACAACATCAGTTTTTTTAGACATCATACCAAAATTATCATAAAATGCAATTTCATTATATATAGCTGTATTGATAATGTACTTCTACTATAAGGTGCAAGCAACTAAGAAATTACCTTTGCCATCATAAATGGTAAAATTTCATTGTGATAGGGAGACACAATCCACACTGAAAAATTTCCTGTAATTATCTCCTTCAGAGTGGACCGTATTTCTTTTGGAAACCCTCATTTTCCGAAACAACATATATGTGTGGACAGAAAAGCAGTGCTGTAATAAATAATAAATTTCTAAGCAAGCAGGTCATAGTGGGAAGTCATGCCCCAGACATATAACTTTTTAGGTAAAAGCCACACTTTGTCTTAAGCTAGCCGTGTCCATTCATTCTAGGGACATATGGGAAGACACACCTTTGAAATGCCTCTTTTCAGACCCCTCCTTCAAAGACAGCAAATAATGTTAATGATTCTGTAATATAATCCTGGCTTTGCTTTCTCCCACTTTCATGTAATCTTCCTTACGTTGCGTCCTTAGTTTGAAATGCATAAAAGAAACTGCAAAACTGTTATTCTATGGAGCATTTGAGATCTTGCTCCCTGGCTTATGCTGTCAGTTCGGCTCAAATGAACTCTTATAAAAATGCTCTACAGATTTAGACATTCCTTAAGGCAACATATATTTGTTTTTTTAATGTAAAATTTCAATATTTAATACAACATTTTCTCCTCAATAAACTCTAAGTCTAGATCTCTTACTCTCATACCAATCCCATTGGTCTGCAGAGCAAAGCACTACTATGCCACTAGTGATAACATATTCCAAGAATAATTTAAAACTCATATTATATATTGATCAATTCTTATTCTTTGATTCCATGTATGGAAAGATTTTAAGGTCTAAATTATAATTATATAGGGCTGAGTTTAGGTTATTCATGTTTCTGAACAGCATATGATCCTCAAAAGTAGAACGAAAAGTAATGTCTTCATGACTGACTTTTCAATCCTAAATAGCATAAAACATGGTCTCACTTTACCTCTTCTTTCTTTGTAAGCCACAATGAAATAATTTGCTCAATCTTCAGATGAAAGTGATGCATACCCTACTGCCATCATAAATAGTGAAACAAGTGGCCTTGCCCACAAGAAAAGGCCTCAAAAAGGCACTGATTTCATGATTAAGGTCAGGAAAAGTAGTTTATGTCATCTGGGACTAAATCAAAACCTTTGGTTTTTATGTCTCAAATTATTTGCTGTTCATGATGGATAAGAACAATGCCAAGGGTGTTAAAGTGAATTGCCACAGAACACTAGTGAGTACCAATTCTTGGAGGGTCTTCTACGTGTCATCCTTTGTTAAGCAAAACATTCCTTCAAGAAGTTTAAAATCTAATGGAGGAGACAGATATGCATAAATAACTATCTAATACAAGGTATTAAACTGTATTTCAAAAGCATCATAGTAGTCACATTTGGTGGCAGACACATCTCACTTTCACCTATAAATTATAATAAGGATGAACAGTTCTGGGGTATGTACAGTTTATACCAAAATATAGCTTGAACGAAAGGAAACAAAGAAATCTGTATAAGTGTCTAGCTCAGTCACAAAATAGAATTTAGTATTGAACAAACACAACCTTCCCTGGGTTCAGTTTCCTCAAAGGCACATCTCCAACTTCGGAAAGTGCTTCTAATCTGTAGCCACTACGTCAATACAAGGGATTTTTTTTCTTATTTGATTTCAGACAGCCTTTGGACCAGAATATAGAGGGCTGAAGAAGCCTCAAACCTTGAAACAGTCAAAAACCTGTCTAGCTGAGAAGAGTCTTTGCTTCATTTACTTCATCATTCAAAAAGTATATATTGACCATAAATGAGGTCAGGTATTGTCCTAAAACTTGCAAATACTAACAAGAATGACAACTAGATTACACTGCAGTGGGTGAGACACACAGCCAACAAAGACATAGCGGGGGGTGGGGCGGAGTGGGGGGAGATGTTAACACCTTAATTTCAGAAGAAATGTAGGGTCAGATCAGGAAATTCTTACTTCTGGGAGGTAGAACTCCTGGGAAGCCTTCCCTAGCTTCTGCACGAACTTTTCCCTCCAGCCTTGGTACTTGGTTTCTCTGTGGTTAGTGTGGGAATTACTTTTTGTATTCTGTGGCTACTCTACTCTTTACTGGTATATAGCCAGTTGGTTTTCTTCTTGAGGTCAGGCATGGTAATTACACTTACTTGAATACACTTTCCAACAAAAAGAATAAAGAAAAAAATTTGTAATCTAAGAAAAGTGGTTGACTGAAGAATTGACAAATCACCAGTACACTGAAGTAATGGGACAAAATGATTAAGTCTTTATTTATTTATTTTTTGAGGGGGAGAGAGGGAGGCAGAGAGGGAGAGAAACCTCCATGTTTGAGAGAAACATCTACTGGTTGCCTCTTGCATGCCCCCAAATCAGGGGACACCTGCGCTCAATCTACTGTGCCACACCAGCCAGGGTGTGCTGACTCTTACAGAATATCTTTCTCTTCGGTGTTTCTCTCAAAAACTCACCTTCAGTGACCAAACTGGAATAGATACTTGGGCTTCCTCCTTTAAATTTCAGTTCTTTCAGCTGTTACAAAATGATATAACAAAAATTATAAGAGCGTTTGTGAAGTTTTCTTTGGCCTTAAATTACTTTGGCCAAAGAACAGTTAAAGGAAAACTCCCTTATTCTATGGTTAATTAGTGAGAGTGCTTCCTGCATATTTGTGGGGAGTTCTCCAGCTGTGCAAGCTGCAGGGTGTGGTAGGAGCAGATAATGGCTCTAGAATGCTGTTCCATGGGATTTTTCTTGCCATGTAAAGTCCTAAGAATGGCTTGACTACAAATAAGTGGAAAGATGGCTCCCACAAAGAAAGCAACTGAGAAAATGATTAACCATACTGAAGATTTTTACAGTATTATTCCTACAATAGTAAGCTAAATACAATATAAGTTAATTGGCACTTAATGCAAAAACAGTACTTACATTTTCATTAATACCACTGCTTTCCTGATGAGGAAATTAATACACAGAGTGGTTAAATTATGTGAATAACATCTAATACCCAAAACTAGGTATCCAGATTCTAAGAAAGTGAACTTTTAGTTTAAACAAACAAAAACTGCTTTATTTCTGTACACACACTTTCTTTTTAAAGAAATTTTTGTAAGATAGAACTTTTGGACCTGATTTGTTTCGATAATTATTCCCCTCAAATGTTCAATAATTTATTCTTATCTGATCACACTCTTCACCACAATGTTCTGATTCTACTCCACAGGAATCATTAAATAAGGAGACTGCCACAATACGGTAGATCTCACTTGAAGCAGACAGGAAATACAAGAGGGGAAGGCAAACTCTCTAACAATCCCAATAAGAGGGAATTAACAGACTGATGCAGGCGCGAAAAAGTATCTTTTCCTATTCCCCCTCTAAATTCTCAGCTGGGGCTCCTGTAACTAGAGACAGATTAATAAGAAAAAAGCTTACAAATGTATTATGAAGGTTTTTCTCCTGCTAATCTGAATTTAGAAAGAAGGGGACAAGGAAAAATGTTTACCTCCCTCTCCTGACAGGGCACTAGAAACAAATTTGGGAAACTGAGCTGGTAAGAAGTCTTGCCTTCTGTAGGCTTTTATCTGTTGTCCAGCCCTCTGAAGCAAGTAGAGTAACCAGCATTTTACTGCCCCTTTATGATTGTTAGAATTTTAAGAGAGGAAAATTTCCTTTTCCTTTTACCCTTATACATTCTCTACTGGGGTCCCTGTACCAAAAGACATTAAAAAGAAAAATCCACACAAATCTATTTAATTTTAAAGTTTTATACTACACAGGAGTCTTCATAAGGAAATAAAGACACAAAGAGGTGGTTAAACCTGGGCACTTTTTATGTTGGATTTGATCAAGAGTGGGAAGTCCTGGAAAAATGCCATAAGACAAAAGGTTTGAGCTAAGTGTAGTAAGGTGGGGGAAATGCAACAAGACCTGTTCATTCAGATTCCTTTTTGAATTCTTCCATCTTCAGAGATAACGATGCTC